TGTCCCCGCCGTGGGAGCCGGGCTGCAGCGCGGGAGCCCCGGGGAACGGCTCCTGCGTGTCCACGTGCGGGGCGTCGCGCTTGGCCGCCCTGGACGGGCAGCATCGGAACGCGGTGAAGACTTGGCCCCCCGGCTGCTTCGGGGGGCTCTGCTGCCTCGGGACCGTCTGCTCGGCCCTGTCTCCACCCAAGAGGCTCTCCAGGCAGCCCTCCATGTCCCTGGGGTTCCTCATGATCTCCCGCACGGTCGCGGGGCTCCTGGCGAGCTCCAGCACGAGTGAATCCGACGCACTAAGGAAGTGGCTGATTTCTGGGATTTTCTGGATGGTTATCTGCTTCAGAGGGCTGTCTGTGAATAGTTCCTTGATGAGAACAGAGCTGGGAAGCGTGCTGTCAGCAAGGGGGATTTCCATGAGCTGGGCCACGTCGGTGCTGGGTAACAGTTGGCTCTCCAGCTCGGGTAAGTGGACTGTGTTCAAGCCAAAGCTGCTTATAAGTCCCTGCAGGTCCTGCGCATTGAAGGTTGAGCCTCTCCTGGTCTCTAGTCCAGGGATGCGAGTTCCCTCCGCTGTGATTTTGAAAATCCCCTGGGAAGAGCTTCTTTGCTGGCCAAGATGGCCCTGGAATCCCCTTCGTGAGTGGACCACCAGGTAGATGGTGGCTTCATCATGGATATTGTACTCACCAAGCGTCTTGTGATCCCTCAAAATCCTGCCAGCGAAGACCAGCACCAACTGGTTGGCTGGAGAGGAGAAGCGCACGGACACGTCTCCTTTGAACTCCCGGATGCATCGGTCAAGGGGCACTGCAAACTCCTCCTGCCGCCGCGGCGTCTTCACGGTCACCCTGACAGTTGGGGCAGCATCTCCAGGGACATCCATGCTGTGACCATCCTTGGAGAAACGGTCCCTCGGGAGAGCAGGGAGAAGGGTGGGAGGGCTGGACGCACGACCCACGTTCTTCACGTCCCTGCCGCCAGCTCCTCCGGCTGCTCTAGAAGCCGGAGTCGGGAGAGGCCCCGGCGAGGAGAGGCATCTCCATCCACATGCAGCAGTAGCAAAGGGCTCTGTCGGTGGCCAGCGCTGTCCCCAGGCCCCGCTGCGCTCCAAGGACCTGTTGTCGCCCTGCCGCGCTCCGAGGACCCTTGTCATCGTGTCTGCGCACTGTGACCTCGCTGCCGACATCACTGCATTTTCTTCACCATGGGAGCAGATCGGAAGTGACCTGAGCTGAGTTATACATAAAGTTTTGTCTTATATATATATAAATATATATATGTATATATGTATGCCTTGTGTATATCAGGTGTATATGCCAAGGTCTCCTGGCTCATGCACATTCCCTCCTGCTTCTCACCCCCGAGTGGCCTCCCACGATGGCAGGGACATTGATGCCTTGGCTTTGAGGTGTCCCTCAGCACTGACCAAGGCCTTGGTGCCACCAGAGCCCAGAGGAGCTGGTGGAGGGGCAATAGCGGCGTCTCCTCGGACCTGGCAACCCGTGGAGGTACCTGCTGTCACTGGCGTGAAACCTGCTCCGAGGGGAGCGCACAAACCAAAACGCAGGAAATCCCTCCCGAACACGAGAAAACACTTTTGTTTTTCACTGTGAGGATGCTCAAATACAGACAGGGTTGTCCAGAGAGGTTGTGGGTTCTCCATCCTCGGAGATGTCCAAAACCCAACCGGGCTCGAGCCGCCCCACGGGGGGACAGGGGTTTGTACCAGGGCTCTCCAGACGTCCCTGCTGCTCTGTGGTCCTGTAGACTCTGCAGGGAGAGATGGCGCTTTATCCATCCGGATGCAATGTGCAGGGCAGAGCGCAGGAACATGGGTGCTGGAGCTGCTGGAGCCGGAGCTTCACGGAGGCCCCGGAGCTGCCTCGTAGCAGAGCCGCTGCGGTGTCCCCAGGGTCCTGCACACTCAAACAATGGGACAAAAAATCCATCCCAAATGTCTTTTCCCAGCATGAGACCTGAAAGCTTCTCCAGGGGGTCTCCAGCGCTGCTCTAATGCCCTTCGCCCTGTGGGTCTTTACTGCTGCTTGTGCCATTTTAGCAATGCTGATGCACGTGGAGATGAGGGTCTCCCTCACCTCATCCTCACCATGGTGTGAGAGTCACCAAAGCAGAGCTGCTAATTTCAGGTTTTTCAGGTTGATTCACATTGGATGGTTCTCAGCCCACTGTTTTTCTCTTCTCAGATGGTGACCCTGATGTGATACACGGCACGGAGCTTCAAATTGAAGAGGTGCGTGAGGAACCCCAAAGGAGAGGCCCAGCTGGAGGACGGCTCAGCGGGACCGAGACCGGGACGGGTTGGAGGACGGCCCGGGGACAAAGAGGAAAGGACGTTGCAACGGGACACCCTGGGGCAGGAGATGGGTCAAGAAATCACAAAAGAAGAAGATGCAATTGTTAAACTTCTCCTGCATATACTCTCTAAGAGAGGAATTAAGTACAATGAGCTTATGCTCCAGAATTTAATAATTTGGTGTCGAGAAACTACTAATTTGGTGCTGCTTGGACGCAGTCCTGTGCCACGTGCTCTAGGTGACCCTGCGTGTGCAGGGGGTTGGACTAGATGATCCCTAGAGGTCCCTTCCAACCTTGACCATTCTGTGATTCTGTGATTTTGTCCATCATCAGCGTTGCTGTGAGCGCTGGGTAGGGGACGGTCGGGAGCAGAGCTGCTCTCCTTGCTGCTCAGGGCAAATGCAGATGCCCCGGACGGGCAGGCTGCTCCTTTTGCACCGTCCAGCACTCATTCTTCAGACTTGCACTGCTTTTCACGACTGTCTGAAGCAGATTCCTACCAACGCTGCGTGGAACACAGTATTGCTGGTGCACTTGGTGCATACACTAATGTGAGGACCAAGGAAACGTTCTGTAAAACTGTTTTTATGCTGAAGGAGAATTCCAAAGTACGACAACAAAGTAGTGGGTATTAACTGATCAGGCAGAAGTGAAGGATCTGGAGGTGAGACGGGCCTCACACTGAGCACTGCTCAGCAGTGTTTTCCCAAAAGGGGAAATTTCCCTGTGGGATTTGTAGCCTTGGGAGATCTTTATGCCCAGAACTCGAGTCTGTGGTTGAGCCTTGGACGTAATGGTTGAAGGGATGTGTGTCCCTCAAATGAAGGACCCTGGAGCCTTCCTCCCAGCCCCATAGGGCTCTTCAGCAGGTAAACACATGGAGCAGCGGGAGGTCCTGAGGTCCTGCAGTGATGCAGGCTGCACTTATGAAGGCAGCAGGGTGGACTCTTCTCTGTGCTGTAGTGAACGCACTTGGTCCATGCAGCTGCAGCCCCTGGACCAGGCTCTGCTCTGTTGGCCTCACACTGATACAGCAGGAGAAAGGAGGCTGTGGAAGAGCAAATGGGAAGAGCAGCTGTTGGTGCCAGATCAGCAGGCACAAGAGTCTTGATAACCCCCATCTGGATGCTCTGCCCAGGCTCTGCAAGGCGGGTAGTTCAAGGGAAGCGTCTCCAGGAGACATTGGTGGCCATGAAGGGGCCAACTCTCCAAGCCCACGTTTCCAGACCCCGGTGGCCTCCAGCTGCCCTTGAGCTTGCTGGGCCTGCCTGTTTCTCCAGGGCGAGAAGGGCTGTCGCGCTTGGCCGTCCTCCAGGCCCACGTCCCGCGGCCACGCGTCACCTCTCAGCATTGTCCACCCTGGGCGCAGCAGGGGCACTGCCCCGCGGGGCAGAAGAGGCGCAGGACGCGCTCCCGGATCTGCCGCGTTTTCACCCCGTACACGATGGGGTTGAGCATCGGCGGGACCACCACGTAGAGGTTGGCCAGGAGGATGTGAACGTGGCCCGGGATGTGGTGGCCGAAGCGGTGGGTGAGAAAGGAGAAGAAGGCGGGCGTGTAGAACATGAGGATGACGCAGAGGTGGGAGCCGCAGGTGCTCAGCGTCTTCAGACGGGCCTCGTGGGACGGCAGCCGGAAAACCACCCTCAGGATGAGCGCGTAGGACACGGCGATGAGCACCACGTCGAGGCCCGTGGAGAGCAGCACGGTCGTGAGCCCGTACCACACGTTGGCCTTGATGTCGGCGCAGGCCAAGCGGGCGATGCCCATGTGCTCGCAGTAGCTGTGCAGCATGACGCCCCGCACACGCTTCAGCAGGGAGATGGGTGGGAACATGATGCACAGGGCCCGGACCACGGCGGTCACCGCGATTTTGCCGATCACCGAGGGGGTCAACGTTGAGGGGTATCGCAGGGGGTCACAGATGGCCACGTAACGGTCGAACGCCATCGCCAGCAGGACGGAGGACTCCGTGATGAAACTGAAATGTGTAAAGAACATCTGCGTGATGCAGGCGTCGAAGGAGATCTCTCTGGCGCTGAACCAGAAGATTGCCAGCATTTTGGGCACCGTGGTGGTGGAAAGCATCAGGTCAGCAACAGCCAGCATGGCCAGGAAGAGGTACATGGGCTCGTGGAGGCTCCTCTCCGTGATGATGACAAAGAGGAGGACCGAGTTGGCGAACACGGCGGTGAGGTACATCAGGCAGAAGGGGACCGAGATCCATATGTGGGACTCCTCCATGCCCGGGATGCCTGTGAGGACGAAGGTGATGGGATCGAAGCTGCTGTCGTTGAGCTCGTACATGGTGGCGTCTGTGCAGGGTCACTCTGCTTCTCTGCAAGAGAAAAGCAGCAGAATAAATAACGCCTGGTGAGGCAGAGGCTGGCCTTGCCCACCGGCACACGAGAACACGGTGACCCACGCAGCATCCTGTTTGTACAAATGACTTCCAAATTGAGCCGCTTCTGAAAGCCGAGGGCTTGATTTGGCATATTTTGTTGTAAAAATGAGTCCTTTCATTCATTCCTATTACCTCTTACGAATTTTATCTGAAAAAATTGTCTCCATTTGCACTGCGAAACAGGCTGGGTCTTTCTCTCTCTGAGCTCTACCCATTGCCACGGAGATGGCAGAAATGCTTGTGAAAGTCCCGATGACCAACGCTGTGATCATTGGGCTGTTGTTCCGTGTGTGCCTGGAAAGCCACGTGTTGTTCTCCTTGTCTCTTCTGACCCCGGAACATCCACCGGGCACATTGCTCCCTGCATTTCCACTTCATAAACATGTTTTCCTGGTTGCTAACGCACAGAGTGTCTTCTCCTTTGCACCCCACAGGAATCACAGGCACCAAACACCAAAGCAGAGAGCAGGGAGCCAGGCTTGATTCTCAGCTCATCCCCCAACTTTCTGAATGTCCCAAAACAACAATCCTGACCCACCAGCATCCCTGTCTGCCTGCCGTGAAGCTCATTTTTTTTTCATATTTCCTTCAGGAGCAGGGACAAAGACACGGATCATAGTGCAACAGGCTTGTTGGACTATATAGCTGTGACACAAACTGCAAGGGAAAACGTGCTATCAGGGCAGAAAAGTCATGCTAAAATCCCCGAGGGACATAGGGACTGTAGTCTGATGTAGTCTGATGCTCAGACTACATTTCCAGCCTCTCGGCCCAAATTGCCAGGATGACCTGGACTCAAAGTCATGCTAAAATCCCCGAGGGACACAAGGACTCCTGCACTGATGCTCAGACCACATTTCCAGCCTCTCGGCCCAGCCCAAATTGCCAGGATGACCTGGACTTGGAGCAAATTCCACAAAGGTTCGTTAGTGCCAACCGGCCAAGCCTGCAGAGTCCTCTGTGGACCCTTTGTCGCAATGAGGACTTTGATGAATGATGATGGGTTTATGTGTTTCACCCCATTTGTTCTTCTGCTCCACTTGTGCCCCATCATAGACTAGGACGAGCCTGGACCATGGATGGAATGCAAGAAAACATGTTTGATTTGGACCAAAGCTAAACCTTCCCCCTGCAGACCTGCCTGCAGCCTGTTTTCATTGCAAACTGCAGGGCACGATGCGTGTTTGCATTTCCAAGTGCTGCCATTAACAGTGTTCTCGTCCACTGAAAACACCCACCGGTACAGGAAAGGTTTCAGCACATCACAAATATTTATCCAACCACTTCTTCCTCTTTTAAGACCACGTAACTCAACAGAGGTGAATAAAAACAGGCTGAATCAGCATTCTTAAGTTAAATGAGCCCGAGGACATTCCCAGGTGCCAAAGGCAGCCAATGCAGTTGGTTTACTAAACATTTTGGCAAGAGTTTACACCTCCGGTTCTTAGTGATATGGATTTACATTCAGATTTATATCCTTTCATTCTTCTCAAAGAAGAAAGTGGTGCCCCAAATACCAATGTTCAATGTAAAACGACTCACCGAGGGCCAGCCCCAATGAGGAAGGAGGAACCTCAGCCCTGGTCAGTGCAGAGCTGATCAGGAAGCCCCATTGGTACCACCGAACACCGATGATATCGATCCTTCCTCCTCCTCAGCCTCGGAGGGAACGTCAGCCCATGGATTTGCGGAAGCTTAAATTGCCCCTGCATTAAAGATTAACAGGAGGCAACACTCTCAGCTGGCCAAGATATTTCCTGCTTTCCCATCATTTGCATTGTAAGTGTTCTTGCTTTGTCCCGCCTTGGCCCAGGCTTCGTCTCCTGACCTGGAGTCTGACTTGGGAAGCAGACAGGCTCCGTGTGATGCCCATGCAGGGCTCCCCCGGTCCGGAGGCAACATCCAGGGGGCCATGAAGAGTCTCAACCCTCATGGAGCGAAAATGTCCTCACAACCCTGGTGAGACCTCCAAAATATCCTCTGGGTTTCGCTTATGTGCCTCTGGGGGAGGAGTTTCTCTACCAGTCTGGCTCCTACCCATGGTCAATGATCTACAAATCCCGAAACACATAAACGGCTGCGAGCCCAAACCTGCCTTTTCCTGTTGCAGAACAGCCGGATGCGCCGCTTTCCACCCAGATTGCTCTGCCGGTCTCTACCGGCGTCAACCGGAATTCCAGAAACACCAGAATTGCATAATTTATAATACATTATTATTGCAAAATCATTTTTAAAATACACAAAAAAAGAACAGAGAAATAGCCGTATCTATTTAGAGGATACAAAAGGCTTGTTACTGAAAATCATTTTTAAAATACACAAAAAAAAGAACAGAAAAATAGCCGTGTCTATTTCCAGGATACAAAAAGCTTATTAATAGGTGACTTGAAAAATGCTTTGCCTGCAAACAGCATGTTGCAGATTCATCAGGGCACCAGAAAGATTTGAACTGATAGAGCTGTATAAACAAATCCTCTCTTTCATTGCAGAACCGAGCCAAAAAATGGAGAATAACTGTGTTTTCTTGATGACACAGAGGCTCACACCTTCTATACAGCCTGGCCTGCCACAAGATGTTAATCATTCGGTGATTTCCTGTTCTGTTTCCCTGCTGAGGCTATTCAGGTCCAGAAGTAACAGGTTCAGACGGAAAAGAGGTGCCTCGATGCATTTTGTTTGCTTGTTTGCTTTTTGATTTTTTTTTAGCAGTCGTAAATAAATACTGATTTCCTCCCTAAGTGAAGCAGCCTTGTTCTACTTGCCGTACGCCGAGTCCTCCCTGCAGGAACTCAGGGTTTCATCCACCTGGAAAACACCCAGCGAGTTTTTGGCTGCTGCTGCTGCCATTAATCACAGCCCCAGCGCTCGGCCTTGCCCAGGCTCCTGTGTTTGCTCAGGAAGATGGATTTGCTTTGGAAATGTTGCCACGGTTCCCCATTTATCACAGTGCTACCAGGGACCAGATCCCTGCCGATGGGCAGGGACTAGTGGGGAGGACACAGGAGCATCGCCAGGTCCCAGGGCTGTCCATGCCCTTGTGCCTGGGGCTCCATCCCCATCCCGACGGGCAGGACCCCGGTGCTTTTCCCGGCAGGATGGAGAGCCCGGTCTCCTGCAGGACTTCCACGCAGGTCGTGCTGCACAGCGGGATGAGCCGCGAGTCTTCTGCAGACATCCTGAGGACGCTCTTTCCGAAGGGAGGCTCCAACCCCTCTGAACATGAACATCAGCGCATCCACCTCGGCGTCCACAGCACCAGGACACCCCTCACGAAGGATGGGGGTGCTGGAAAACGCACTCATTTCCCATCAGCGGGTCTGATGAAGATACGAGTCCTCCTGTCACACAAGGCCCTGTTTTTGGCACCTAAAGGTGCACAAGAACTCTCTAAAGCCGCTGTGGCCAGCTCATGTTATCAGTGCCCCTTTTTTTTCTTTCTTTCTTTTTTTCTTTTCCTGCATTTCTCCCTGCACTGTTTCCAAAGAATAAGGCCAGTTCAGAGCCTTTCACAATGAGGAAGAGCCTGTGAGGAAGAGCTGACCCAGTTCTCAGTGGTTCCAGCTTGGGAGGAATTTGGAGGATCATCACAGTTTACATAACAAGGAATATTTTAAAGGAAAGCCTCAATTAATGAGGAAACCAAATTTTAGCTGTGCTCCCCTACAATGTCTCTCCTCTGTTGTTAGCGGAGGAGGAGTCATCTCAGGAGGAAGCTGAAGGCCTTACAAAAACACTCAATGTGCAGGTAAAACCTGTTTTCTTCTTGCCCCAAACTGTGCAAACAAGGGCCGAAACACCCAAAGGGAAGAGTCAGTCTTGGCCCCAGCAAGAGCAGGAGCAACCGAGTCACAGGGAGGCTGGAAGGCAGGTCCGGCTCGCGGGACCTCCCCGCCAGGCTCCCATCAGCAGTTCCAACTCGGCAAGGAACCCACCACAGATCCAGTATTTCATGTGAGCAGCAGGGCCGTCTGCGCGTTAATGTTTAAGCAGTTTCCCCTGATGCACTGAGTGCATCAGCATCAGCCCCTGCCTCCTCCTCCCTGCCGAGTACCCAAAAACCCCTGTTTTGGAGGGGGATTGCTCGCTCTCCGGATAAGGGGATGCGATAAGAGGCTGCAAACAGCCCTAGATGGGGCTGCTGTTCTCCAGGAAGGTCAGCGCGAGGGGCAGCCCCGATTGCCGGGATCGGGCACGGGAGAACGTCACCCGCGTGGAAGGAAACAGAGAGACTGGAGTGAACAGCGCCGGCGATGCGAAAATCGAGTTAGACAAACCCTGCTCAGGAATGACCTCAGGGAAAGGCAGAGACTCAGGCGAGCCCTGGCGCTTTGGAGGTCTCTGAATCTTTGCATTTTGGCTGCCGAACAAGTCAGCCCCGGGAAAGGATGAGGACAACGTGTTCTCCGTGCCAGGCACTGCCTGGTCTGGTATCAGCGTTATCTGATTCCGTCGGAGTCCTTGCAGGATGCTGCTTGGTGGAATGACTCACCAAGCCCGAGCAGATGACATCCAAAAAGGACCTGGTGGCATCAGAGCGACACGGACTGCAGGTTACTCAGCCAGAGCTTCACCTCGTGGAGGGGGCAGCAGAGATCTTCCCCTATCCCTGATGATGGGAACAAGTCCAACACCCAGGAAACATCAGCACGAAGCCACAGCACAACTTAACTTTGTCCTGTTCTGCAGCGGGTGACCATCGGGGACGCTAAGAGCTGGCTCGGCTTCCCCTGTGCGTAGGGTGTTCACTGCTCACGGAAGCTGGTGCTGATACCCCAAAACGGGGCATCGTCGGGCAGCCTCTTGGAAACTACAAGTTAAGAGTGGTCTGAAACCATCTTTGCCCCCAGTGCTGCTGGGCTGGAGGGTTCTGAGCGGTGCTACTGGTTGTGGGACACGGGCAGAG